ATAAGTCCAGTGCTGTTCCTTCCAATGCCAGTCCCTGGCTCTGCAGCTCTGAGCTGCTGCTTTTTATAGCCATTGTTTTCTAGTTCCTTCCTCAGACAGGGTTATTGATCTCACTCATGATGTTGCTTGTCTCTATGGTTTCTAAGTTTCTGTGGCCAAAAAACTAAGATTTTTTAAAAATTACATACATGAAAAATCAAGAATAGGCAGATCAGAGTGCAAAATTTATAGCCAGAAATAAACCCTAGTGTATATAAAATGTTAATCAATGTAGTATATTATAGTTTAAACATCACATATTAGTGAGAGAAGGAGGAATTATTTAATAAAATAGTATCGGGAAAATGGACTAGCCATGGGGTGGGGGTGAGGACATATTCCTCTTACTTCATACTGAACCCCAAAATAAGTTCCAGTTATTTACGTAATTAACTTGAAGAAAATAACTGAAAACATGAAAACATAGGTAAATATTTAATTCAAGTGGAATGGAAAGGACTTTCAAAGCACTTGAAACAGCTGAAGAAATCATGAAATGATCGGGTCAGTTGACTTAACTATGCAATTAACATCTGTACTTCAAAGAGAAGCTTCACAGACTTCACAACAAAATTAAACTGCAAGCAAGTTTGAAAATATTCATGAAGATGACAAAGGGCTAATATCCCTATAAAAGTTTATACCAACCAATAAAAACAACACTATGAATCAATAGAATGATTCATAGAATCAATAAACTTGAGCAGGCATTCCAGAGAAGCAAAAAAGAATACAGAAGGCTAATAAAGGAAAAAATACATATATTCACCTTTTCTAGTAATCAAAGGCAATTTTTTACAAAATGACCACAGTGAGGGAGCATATATTGCAGATACTAGTGTCTAGCAATGCAGATTTTATAGAAATTAACTTGACAGTCTGCCAAGTGTCTTAAAATGATGTACCCTTTGCTACAACCGTTCTACTTTTATGAGTCTGTCAATTGTGATAATAATCAGGAAACCAGACACTAAAGATATAGAAACAAATGTCCAGCAAAATGGCAAGGGTTAAGTTCATTGTGGAATGCCTGTTAGATAGAATATTATGAAGGCTTAAAAAAAATGATGTTTCATCTAAGATAGTCTAAAACTCCCGTGAGTATTCCTCCACTGCCTCTGTTCCAGTCTCTTGCCACCTTTCTTGAGTGAGGG